TAACCTCACAAGTGCATATTTAACTTATGTATTTACAAAGGTGCGCCCACCTGGCGCTGGGTTTTTTCGACAGCCGATTGTCGTTTGCACTTGACAAGTCCTTCGTCCCATTTAATTCTTCTGATTATACACCTGACTATTACTGGTGAGGTCAAAGACAGGAAAATGTATATCACATATTGAGCTACCGACCTACCTTTCACATCCGCTCCTTTTATCTTTGCTTCTATTCTCGCTGATGTGAGGTTAAGCGCACCAATCTGAAAGTGAATTTAAAAGGCGATTTGCATGATGGCGTCATTTGACTACAACTACCAGAATCCTTCACTATTTTGTCTTTGTTATTCCAATTGGGGCAACTGTTATATAAAACCCACTGGGGCTTCAAAATTTAAATAATAAAGAAAAACCAAAAGGATTTCCGGTAATTGTACTCAAATGATGGCAAAGTGCGAATCTACTATTATAGCTTCGGCGGCCTGAAGGGCTGCCAAGCGGAGCCCCATATTCATAGAGGTGAGAAAAGGAAACCCATGAATTGATTTTCTCGTGGTTATCTTGGCTAGCGGTATTGCTCGTGGGCGCGCTCTACAAAAGGCGGCGGAGTTGCCTAAGAAGGCGACCATACTCTAGCTAATAGGTTGACATGCAGCCTTGGCTTATAGCGTCCTTCTTTGATATTGAACATCCATGTTATGGTCAATTGACATCTGTCAAAACAAGGTATCCGCTGACCTTTATCACGTGACCATGTCGCGGACTCAAGCTTAGATCTCGTAACGTAACGTATTTTTTTAAATTGGCCGCTGACCAAGTGCTGGTTTTCGATTGGATCGTGGGCTCATGTCAAGTTGACTTGTTGTTATAATATACATGAAAAAATTACTGGATTCTGATTGGCTGAGAGCAGTGCAGTTCAAGTGTAACACCAGTGTAAAAAGTGTAGCCCCAGTGCAAAAAGTGTAACACCAGTGCAAATTACACTTTGAAAAAAGTTTTCTCGAATGAGGAAAAATGGCTTCAAGAAAGATCTCCCGGCATTCCTCCACGCGAATTTTTTCATGTTTATATTATTGATAAGTAATCATACGGTTTTTCCCGTTCATTTTGGAATTAATTAGCACTTGTTAGTTTTTCAAAAAAGCTGAAATTGNAATTTCAGCTTTTTGAAAAACTCACTCGTGCAAATTAATTCCAAATTGAACTCGAAACCGTATGATTACCTATACTATGCTGGGCCGGGTTCGGAAGCCGCTTAACGCTAACCTAGGATTAAAAGTTAACCGAATTATAAATTTTTCTTGTTTCCAAATGTTTTTTACTGCTTTTGTTTTGTGTATTTTGAGATTATTCAAACTCAAAACAGACGGCCAAACAATATACAGAAAGCCTCATCCCTAAGTTACAAAACTCAGATCAAAATTCTAGCTTATCCTGGGCTAGCTTAATCTGGCTCTGAACAATCCGGCCCAGGAGCTCCGCTTTTAGGCTTGCCCAAATCTTTATATTAAATAAGTAATAGACCACTCTTTCTATGGGTTTATGGGAGTTTTCACCCACTTGGGATGTTGGGAGAACACGAAAAAAGAGGTATGAATCAATTCAAAAGGACTTTGACGGGAAAATGCAGGAATTCGTGGCCGGAATCAATCACCACGTAAGTAAAAAACTATGCCAAAAGTTTGCAAGCAGTACAAACTTCATGTGCTAGGCGAAGTGATTCAAAGACAATTTTCAAACGTTTTGAGAATGGAATAAACTAAAAGGTTAGGCTAGAAACCATGCTTCAGAAATTTATTCCAAATTTATTTACTTACGTTGAAGGCTATGAGGTCCGTGTTTCTTCGAATTTTGCTGAATGAAAACTATTACTTGGGCCGCCTAAAGTCATTTATCGTGTCATGCATGCGTGCATTGAATTTAAGTTTTAACTTAAAACTACTGATAAACTACTGATGTTAACTCGAAAGAAATCTTTCACCTGCTTTTTTAACAACCCAAATTGATCATTGATCAAGCCCGGCTGTTGTCAGAACTGCGTCCTCCACAGCCTGTGGAAAGCAATGAAAGCGCTTAAAACTATCTTCTAAACTCAAGCGGAATCGGCGTAAAATTTTGGCCATGGAAATCAAAAGAGATCAA